GGTTTTTAATAATGTAGTAAGAAGGTGGTGCTTTTACAATGACAAACTCTTAATAGCTCTCATTTCCTCACCACACTTGAAATAACCTTAAAGGAAGTTTACTGACCAGGAATAAAGGGCAGTAATAGTTTTTCAAGGGAGTTTAAGCCTGGAAGTGAAGACTGAAGTAATTGCACAAATCACTTGCCTTAAATCAAACTGAGGACAGAAACTTGGCGAAACTGTTAGTCACAGTGAATTATTCACTACTGTGCTGTTACTGAGTCAGTAAGTGGACAAATGTTGCATGAAGAGGCCACTGCATGTGGTCAGACTATCTCTGTGTTAAATTTTGTCCAGTGGGCCATAAAGTGCAGTGAAAAAGTGCTTAGCCTGAGTCACTGTGTGAACCTTCAGTTTCCTTTTATAATAATATAGCACGAAAGCTTAAAATGACTGCTTGGTGACAGACTTTTGTGTACTTGTGGATTTTAAGCAAGTACCTAAGCTGCTTCTGCGTTGGTGGAGATTAAAGCACACCAGGAGGTCTCCAGACATTCATTCTGCTGCACTGCTGGTCATTTGTACTGTTTCCATTTAATGGAGGATCAGGAACATTGCTTGATGCTTTTAGCAAAATAGCAACAGAGATATCTGTGTGAAACTCATCCAGTGTGCCTGTAATAAAACTGTAGCCATTGATGAATTTGTTTAAATGAAATATTTCTCTAAATAATATCTAGGGCCTGGACTGATATGAACATTTTATGGTCAATACTAGGTAGGGATGGGGGGGGCGGTGGATGCTTAGATGCATCGCGATGCAGACGTGGACGATTCTGAATCGATTCTCAAATGTCAAAAATCGATTTTCTAAATATTTAATTTATAATGTAATGTTGACGGAATACAGAAGGCAGAACTTGGAAGTGCGGGAGGTGCAGCACCCGGACAGTCTGTGGCGGCACATAACAAAAACACAACTGGATGAGCGAGAAATCCGACCAGCACCCTCTGCATTAAAAGCCAGGTTAGGTCAGGAGTTACAACCCAAATATTAAGAAGAGACATTTTGTCCTTTCAGCAAAGATCAAACCACCTTGGGAGCCATAAGATTTTATGTCCAGTATGTGATAATGTCCTAGTATAGGCTAAAAAATATAAACGAAAACGCAGACTTGGCTACTTTGCTCTGCTTTAAGTATTAGCTATAGCTGCTTTCCTCCCATCTCCAGCAACTTTTCCTCAAAAGTAGAAGAGTTGCTTGTAGAATGTCTCTCAACGTTCAACTGTTTTACGAGGCTGAAGTCGCTTCTCATTTTCCAGCTTCTTGTTTGTATTTTCCCGTTCCACCTTAAATTCTGACTGACGAGCCAGAATCTAAATGCAGCACCATTTAAGGTGGAACGGGAGAATTCGAAAGAGAAGCTGACTTCAGCTTCGCTACTTTTTAGTGTGTCAGTCTCTCATTGTAGGTTTAACGTTCCAGGAAACCGACTGCGCTGCTTATAAATGCGAATAAGTCCATTCGTCTTCAAATGTTCATCTTAAATCTCTCTTTGCCTTTGCGTATCTAGGCCAGGCGAGACTGCGTTGCTGTGTGACCTGCAGTCTGTACGCCAGTTCTCAGAACCAGGGCTTTTGCACTATGTTGCACACTTTGGAGCTGAGATTCAGCGTCCAGTCTCAAAGATATTTTACTGACACAGCGACCCACAACCCCCCCAACAACGAGACCAAAACCGAAGTTACAAAATCAAAAAAATATAAAAGAAGACAGGTTTGACGGCTGTAACGTGCTGCGTGGATATCCACAGCCACAGGATCTTATTTTACCGTAACTGAGCATTTTATCACAGATGAGTGGCAGCAGCATCTCATGTTCTCCAAACAAGGTCAGTGAATGAGAGCGAGAGCCTTCCAGTTCATTTGCCACATCACTTCCATTTGTTTTATTAGTAAAAGATATTGGAAGTAAATTTATTGATCATTTCAGTAACACTTTGCTTTGAAAATAAGTCGTCACACAGTGAGAAAATAGAAATCCTGTATAGAAAAAAAGATTGATAATCGTCTTATAATCGCATCGCAGCCACTGAATCATAATCGAATCGAATCGTGAGGTGCCTAGAGATTCCCACCACTATTACTAGGGATGTGCACAGATAATCAATAATCGGTTAACCAAGCGCTTCATCACAGTAAGACAGGGGAAGCATACAGGCTAGCAATTGAGCAATAACAGGATGATAAAATGTCACAGTTTTGCTCATATTTGTGAGTTTATATCTTACACTTTGTTGCAGCAAAACACAAGTGCTTTAACCTAGGCTTGATGTTAAGGCAGTGATAGCGTGTCCCGCGGCAACTTTGTGGCTAACTAGGCTAATGTTAGCTCGGCCCAGAAACACTGAAAATATATGCATCTGGCAAAGGAGCATGATACCACATCATCCACTGAAGAGAGAAGGTCTTGTGTAGAAAATGACGAGTCCTTATCAGCATCCAGTGTTATACAAATTAGCTGTAGCTGTAGTGTTAGCGTTAGCTCATTAGCTCATCTGAAGCAGCAGCCTCCTTTACTCATCCAACATGAAACCCCCTCGATTACCTTCAGCTATTTCAATAATATAACGTGATTTCACATTTTAGCCACCTAACACTGCTGTCATCTACAAACTAAGCTTACAGCCCTACGCTAAGTTCTTATTTTGTTTTTTGTTTTATTCGTTTTTTGAGGTTTTCTCTTTTTTTGCTTACCTGCAGTTTAACTGGATATTCGTTCAACTCTTACAGATATTCAGATATCAAAATGAGTGATATCGGCAGGTATAATCATTTATTTTTTTAGGTTTATGCTCCAGTAGCATTAGCTTTAGTTATAGACAGCTTTATATGATTGTCACTTTCCAGTACCTTGTTTCTATTTATATATTTATATTTTTTCAACAGTTATATTAACAAAAAATGACCAAAAAATAATTAGTATTGATACTGATAAAAAAATAGCTCATCAACATCAGCCAGTATTATCAGCCAGCTCTAATAATATCGCTTACACCTTTGAGGGCTTAAATAAGGAGCGGAGCTCTGGCACCTTATATGAGCTCTCGTACTGTAATATGATGGAAATGTAAATAGATTCTAATACATACGTTTTTCGTGCTGTAGCAGCTCTGTTTCATGTGAATGGATTTTTATTAAATTTGATGGCCAAATTGTTATGCCAGCTGGCTGTTGGTAAATTTAGACCAAAATCTTTTCAAAACTATCGTAAAACAGTTTCTCAGGCATAAGGCTTTCTGTGAGGGGGCTTTTAGAGGTGGATGTCTAGGTCCTGTCACCACCATTGTAAACACTTCTGACTAAGTGTCTTTTGAACGGAGCATTTCACACAAAACTACTCTGAATTCCTTTTTTTTTTTACATCTTAGCCATTTAATTAAGTGGAAATTGTGAAAATTTGATGGGATTTCCCTTTAAAACACACCCTTATCCTATTATAATTGTGACACAGCTAAATCAGATAGAGGCACAGATTTAATTCTTACAGTATGGAACCCATCCCCCCACCCCACGCCACACGCTTGGTCATCTTTTCTCCTCTTACCTCCCTGGGGGGCCGTCATGGCTGGGGGTCTCAGCCCCACACTGTGCTTACTCTAACACCATATTGAATGGGCTCAGGAGAGCAACTAACCTCGTTCAACAGTGCTTGGGCGACTGTCCATCACAAAACTGACCCACCACCCTCTGCCCCAACCACACAACCCCCCCCAAAATGCTGTGCATAATCAGCGCTGTGTCACTGCCAAGACCAAGATGCCACGCTCCATCTGTTGGGCCTGCCTTTGATCCTCCACCGAGCGTGTGTGATGGGACCTGACGTGAGGTCCCACAATCTGCTGAATCAGGCCGGCCGCCGCAGACCTTTCGCCCGGCCGCCGGACTCCCAATCAGCCGCTTTTGTTTTGGTGTTGACAAGCGCGCATAACTCCCTTTCACTGCTCAGTCACATTCCTTACAGTGGAAAATGCTTCTCCAAAACAAAAATCTGTTTTTCCTAAGAAACGAGGGGCTTCACAGTCCGTCAGGCTCTGTGTGCTTTCACAGATGCATCAGTCTGAAGGTGATGATCCACCACATGCAGTGATTTTAGAACCTTTTAATAAATTATAATCAATTTTAATAATGTTTTTAAGGTATACCCTCATTTTTGTCATTCTCTGTCATTTTTAATGTAAAAAAAAAGTTGTACAATGTATTTAGTGACGTATTCCACTATAGTTCCTCCAGTCATACTACTGTATTTAATCACACACACACATTTTCTAAGCCGCTTATCCTTCTGGGTTCGGGGGGTGGGGGGGTGCTGGAGCCTATCCCAGTGGTCTTTGGGCGGAAGGCAGGAAACATCCTGGACAGGCTGCCAGTCCATGACAGGGCTGTATTTAATCTATCATAATCTATCATAAAATAATCCACTTACTTATGGTGAAATTTGAGATTTCATGATGCACTGAATTGTTTCCCAAAGAATTGTAATCATATCAAATGGTTGTGAGGCCAGAAATACACACCTTTAGCACCAACTGTTAGCACTGATCTTGATTCCAGTTTCCGGTCCAGGATTTTGTAATCACTGGTTGGGATAACACTAGGCAGCCAATCAGTTAATAACCAGTGATTATAAAAAAAAAAACAGGATCAAGATCCAGATGTGAAGACCTCCAGTAAACTGCTACAATAAAAGAAGCTTTAATAAAAGTTTTACAGTTTAGGGCACCGGGGAGGAGGATTTGGGACCATTTTGCAGGCTATCCCTGCTATAGCAGTGCTAAAAGCAACATTAAATGTGGATTACGGGCCAATCTTACTGACTTAGACCTTATTTCTAGATCTCAGGTCATATTTTATTAGCACTAATTTCCAAAAAATAAGTGTGGTGTTCACCCGGAGACTTCCATCATGAATTCTGGACCTGATCTAACTACTGTCTTCTGTCTTCTTGTCCTGTGTAGGCTATGGAGGTGGAGCGGACGGTCACGGCTGAGCTCCAGAGCCTGAAACAGGAGCTGAGAGAACGAGGCCATCCCAGACCGCAAGACGAGGAGCTGCTCAGTGCTCTCAGAGAACAGGTGAGGAACTTTATATCTTTATACCTGTAAGCACTAAAGTTGCTTTCAAGTGCAAATCGAGTAGTTGTTTTCTCAGAGGAGGAACTCGTCCACTTGACCTGTTCACTTTCACGCAGTTCACGTCGAATGTAAACAAAAATCATGACGTTGCTGAACACTGGTTGTTTATCAGTTGGCATCTCTAGATTGGCTTATTTTATGGGTATTTTTGTAAACACTTTTAGCAGAAATTAAATTTAAGTAAAAATTTATATATATAGAAAACAACGTAAGTGTAGCACAAAATGTGTTACCCCAGGCACATGAAGGACGCTGGAGGCAGGGTTGAGGGTTGCAGCACTCATTATACCCTTAATTCCACTCCAAACACAAATAAAATCAACTCAAAACCAACAATGAGCACTTTTCAGTGGTTTCCTAGCTGGACTTTTCAGTATTTTTCTTCCAAAATAAGCTGTTTTCGGGGCCCAGGGGACGGGCGCAGGTTACAATAAGTAAAAATTACTCTACCATTACAATTAAACTCTACCAGTACATAAACTTATGTACAGTATTATTTGATTATTTACCATTGTTGGACTGGTCATATCTTTCCTCTACCATGATGAAAAAAGAGTTAGTATTGCAAATTGAAAAATTTAATGTACCCGACTTCATTATACAGTAAGGGTGGGCAATGTTGTAAAAATATCACTCCATAATACTTGTAATTTGTCATAATATTTTTTTCAGAGGTTTGTGAACAGAGTTGTTTGAAACTATTACATAAAAACCATCATTTTTAAATGGTAAAAAGTAAATGAATAAATCAAGATGATGTCAAAATGGGCTGCCATCCAATCGGCTACTTGCTATGTAGTTTATGAAGTTGTTCACGCTAGTTGACTCTCTGTAATTGTTCTAGATTGTTTAAGATCCAAGCAGTCCGGTGTTCTGCACACTTAAAAACATGCTTAAATAGTTCTTTGCATGGTGAAAAGTGCTGTATATGAAAATGGTTCTATTTAGCACCAAAAAGGGTTCTTCTGTTGACACAAGCTTGAAATGGGTGAAAGCACCCTTTTTGGTGCTATATGGAAGCATATCCAATACCATTTAAGCATGCAAAAGGGTTCTTGGACTGTTTATGGTTCTGTATAGAACCATTTTCATTACTAAAGAACACTTGAAGAACAATCTTTTTTAAGAAAGTAGAAGACCACACCAGTCATATGTTCATAAAAGAGCATCATAAAGTAATTTATCATGATAACTATAACCACCAGGCAGCAGACAGTACAGAGCGCAGCTATAGCATCACAACAGAGCTCAGATAAACAACTAACTCGAGCTCATTTTACACCCTAGTGTTACAGATTTAATGGAATAAAACTTTGTGTTATTTACTGAATTCATCATGTTTGGTATCAGCTAACGAGCTCTTCACAAACTTTCTGTTTCCCAGCTCAGATTGAGGTGAAATGCAGTTCAACTAGGCTAGTAACATTAGCTAATGTGGAAACAGATGATTAACATTCTCTGTTTCCCTTTAAGACTGTAGATTAGCTGCCCTTCTTGGCGACTATAGATTTGTGGTCTAGGTTTAATATAGTACAGTAATAGAGGGATGCTGAGGGGCTTCATATGTTTTCTGAGTAATGGCTTACAAATATGAGTATCTTCCGGAAATGCCCATCCCTACTGGTAACGCGAGAGAGGGTGGGTTTAGTTAATGACTTCTTAGGCCAGAACACCACATGCTCCAAAGGGAGATAATGTTTTATGCGTCAAAACAGTAGTTTGGTGGCAGTTGCTACAGTGACTGTGATATGTATGCAGGTTGCACGGCTAACGCAGCGGGAGCAGGCTCTGTCTCAGCGCCTGGAGACGGTGTGTGAGGAGAACACGGAGCTGAAAGACAGTGTGTCCTCACTGCACACACGCCTCACCCTGCAGGAGCAGCAGAGTCAAACACAGACCCAGCAGGTACCATCCTCGGAACAAACAGCGTTTCTGAACATTAAAGTCATCCCACTTACGGACCCCAACCATCCCTATCCCTGTCTCCTTGAATGAAGGAATGAAAAGGAATGCACATTCCATTAATCAGTAAATTTAACACAACAGAACAATCATTAACTATATACACTGATCAGGCATAACATCATGACCACCTCCTTGTTTCTATGCTCATTGTCCATTTCATCAGCTCCACTTACTATATAGGTGCACTTTGTAGTTCTACTATTACAGACTGTAGTCCATCTGTTTCTCTGCATACTTTGTTAGCCCCCTTTCAGTAGTCAGGACCACCATGGACCCTCACAGAGCAGGTACTATTTGGCTGGTGGATCATTCTCAGCACTGCAGTAACACTGACGTGGTGGTGTGTTAGTGTGTGTTGTGCTGGTCTGAGTGGATCAGACACAGCAGTGTTGCTGGAGTTTTTAAACACTGTGTCCACTCACTGTCCACTCTATTAGACACTCCTACCTTGTCGGTCCACCTTGTAGATGTAAGGTCAGAGACGATAGCTCATCTGCTGCTGCACAGTTTGTGTTGGTCATCCTCTAGTCCTTCATCAGTGGTCACAGGACGCTGCCCACAGGATACTGTTGGCTGGATATTTTTGGTTGGTGGACTATTCTCAGTCCAGCAGTGACACTGAGGTGTTTAAAAACTCCAGCAGCAGTTCTGTGTCTGATCCACTCAGACCAGTGCAACACACACTAACACACCACCACCACATCAGTGATCCACCACCTAAATAGTACCTGCTCTGTGAGGGTCCACTGGGGTCCTGACCACTGAAGAACAGGGTAAAAGGGGGGCTAACAAAGTATGCAGAGAAACAGATGGACTACAGTCTGTAATTGTAGAACTACAAAGTGCACCTATATAGTAAGTGAGCTGAAAAAAGGACAATGAGCGTAGAAACAAGGAGGTGGTCATAATGTTGTGCCTGATCGGTGTACAACAAGAATAAACATACTATATAAAAGTGACCAAATATTACAGATATGTATTTTTTTATTTCACAGAAGTCATTAGGTCTTTAGAGTAAATAGCACAAAAATACATATCTGCAAGTCTTTGTAGTTCTGTTTGTTTTTTTTTTTAAATTGGCTCACGGGCTTGGAGTTTCGAGTTTCTTATTGCATTGAATGAATGACATGAATAGAGTTTTCCGCTCTGCTCTGCACTCTGAGACCTGAAGTGCAGGATTCCATGTGGTGCTGAGTTTCTGTGTGTTGTGTTGTGTTTGGAATCTGGTGCTTCAAGATTTCTGCTCTTTAGAGACTCACAGTGATGTTCAACATGACCACTGTGCTTTCAGTTTAAGAATACAGTTAAAGAGACAGTTCGGCAAAATTAAAATCTAATTTTTGCGTGTCCGAAGTTTGCTTCTTAAGGTTTAGAACTGCAGCTACAAGGCTAATGTAGCTAACAAAGAATGAAAGCTAATGTAAGAGTAGTTAACATGGTGCTAACTCCAGGTCCTAATCATCATATGGTGGCCTCATACTGTGTGAAGTTGTTCAGTAATTTCTAATAGTCTTGATTATGTGGTCTCTGACACTGTATGACTCACTGTTGCCTATAAACATGGACTAAATAATGGGCAAAATGTACATTATGGTATTCAGGTTAGTCAGGTGTGATATCTGCCACTGTTTTTAGCTCTGCAGTGTAGTTTCATGTTCATAGATGACAGTATGTCAAGTCTTGTAACTTCTGTCCAAAATGAAAGAAGAAGATTATAGATAAAAATGTGTCTTAGTTTATTGACTACATTTAGTTTGAGGGGAAAGTTGTGTACGTTTTAAATGAACTGTTCCTGTAAAGGGTCCGTATCATAGAAAACTGAGTTTTCCCCACTTTTTTAAATAAAAAAAGTTTGATGCAGTGTGTAAACAAAACATTCATTCACCAGTCCTTGCAGTCCATATATGGACATTAAGCTTCATAAACATTGTTTTAAATTCACTGTTTTTGTGATGTCACAAAAACCAAGCATTTATATACACCGATCAGGCATAACATTATGACCACCTCCTTGTTTCTACGCTCATTGTCCATTTTATCAGCTCCACTTACTATATAGGTGCACTTGTACAGCAAGAGATGAGCTATTGTCTCTGGCTTTACATCTACAAGGTGGACCAACAACGCAGGTGCATCTAATAGAGTGGACAGTGAGTGGACACAGTGTTTAAAAACTCCAGCAACACTGCTGTGTGTGATCCACTCGCACCAGCGCAACACACCACCACCACATCAGTGTTACTGCAGTGCTGAGAATGATCCACCACCCAAATAGTACCTGCTCTGTGAGGGTCCATAGGGGGTCCTGACCACTGAAGAACAGGGTAAAAGGGGGCTAACAAAGTATGCAGAAAAACAGATGGACTACAGTCTGTAATTGTAGAACTACAAAGTGCACCTACATAGTAAGTGGAGCTGATAAAATGGACAATAAGTGTAGAAACAAGGAGGTGGTCATAATGTTGTGCCTGATCGGTGTATATCCATCTGTTCATCCTACAGCAGTTTAGCTCCACCCATTGACGCTGAAGTTGTAAGGAGGGTTTCACCTTTGACTGCTTTTTGAATGAGGTACGATATAAGGCCGTCGATCAGAACAGAGTTCATTTAAATATTTCAGTCTTAAAAATAAAAAAGTTGTAAAAATAAACATAATAAGTGGATCTCAAGGATCAAAAATAAAATACATGAAAAATGCAGAGTACTGGCCCTTTAAACAGTTTTCTGCCACGTTCATTTAAACTCATGTTTAGATGTTTAAAAGTAGAAATAACAACTAAAAGTAGTTGTCCAAAGTAAATAGTTACTAAACACACAACACACTGCTTCTCTCTTAATTTTAAATAATATGTTAAATAACGTGTTTTCTCTTACACGTTTGTGTAGCTGACGGAGGCATGGCGGGAGGTGGAGGCCGCACAGGGCAGAGTGCAGGAGCTCCAGGCTCAGCTGGAGGAGATGCAGGAGGAGGCGTCCCTACAGCGTAGCGGCCACGGGGACGCATCCCTCCTGTCCGAAATGGAGCACAGTCTAGACGCCATGGGCTGGAGCCAAGACAAGGAGCAGGTGACTGACCCAAATTACACCACCTCTCTCCTTCAGTAACCTGAGAATGCCAGGCTGGGAGAACCTGATTTGAGATGAAGCCCAGATATCTTACTTACAGTCTGTTTATTGGGTCTATTTCTGGCTGTGTTGATTAACTTTGCCTTGAGGATAATAGACTGCGAAAAGATTGCGTATATTCTACAGTGTGGTGTTTATAAATTTTGGATAAATCAGCTCTGTACTAACCCTTAGGGTATATTTATCATTAACACTCAGCTTCAAGTTCTTCAAAGTGTCTTTTCTGCAGGTGACAAACCACGACTGTTAGAGCTTAGGTTAGGTTCATAAATGCCTTTACGATAATGCTCATTTCTGCTAGCCCTTCCATGGGATTTCTAATGGTGTTAGCACCAAAGTCAGTGGATATTAACAGAACATTTCTCACTCGGACACTTTTATTATGTAGTCTTACTGAAATATGAAATAAGTTTCATCCAGTTCACTTGGGATCATACATTGGAATTCCACCGATTTTTCTAAATATCTGCCAAATTAAATGGTTAAGATTGAGTCAGAATTTAGGATTATTTACAGTGGTGGTGATAGGAACCAGACGGTCAAAACATTTACAAATCCTTATACACATAAAGGTTATGAATATGCTATCTGATGCCAGTGTTTACGATAATTTTTGAGAATGTTTTGGCATAAAACTGGTTTTTAAAAGTTCTATTCATGGTGGAGGGATATGTGCAGGGTGTAATAAGGCAAAATAGGCAGTTCTTCAAAGTGTCTTCCATGCAGGTTTTGCCTTAATAACAGTGGCGAGCCATGACTGTTAGAGCTAGGGTTTCAGTTAGTTTCATAAACTAAAACTAATTTCTGCTAGCCACCTATGGGATTTCTCATGGTATGTTAGCACTAAAGTCAATATCAATTCGCATGAATATTTTTTACCATTCTACATTAAGCACAAGCATTTGAAACCTATAAAATTACATTTCATATGTTTTTGTATTTTTTAATGTATTTTTTATGTATTTGAATCTTGTAACAGACATTTTCATATATCTGAGCTTGTATGTATATTTTACAGTGACTCTTTCAGTAAAGAGTCCTGCATAGAGCTGCCGTCACTGTTTTACATTCCTAACAACTAACCCAAACCTGATTAGACTACTGCTCATATTCACAGTCAGTGACGTGTCTAAAACTTCCAGAAGGCCTTTTTCCCGCATGAAATTTGTCCCAAAGCATGATTGGTTGATTCTGTTTCCAACCGAACCTTAACAATAAAATAAGAGTTTTACTACAATACTTATAGAGTTTAAATACAACAAACACTTAAAAGCACATATTAAAACTCTTTCGACCCAAAGGTGAAAAAAGGTTGAGTGCTCACCTTTATTCCCAAAATAGGGCTTTTAGCAGCCGTTCTTGCAGTTTTGCAGAGACAAATAGTACGATCTAAACAGCACTATGTTAAGTTATTGCAAAACAAGAAAGAAAGCATGCTCGTTTGTATTTAAAACAGCAAAAAGCAAAACTTCTGACAGGCAGTGTAGCTGTAGACTCCTAATCTGACCCTGCAGATGAACATTTCATCAACTGCTGGAACATCTGTAGGACCTAGACTTCAAGGGCAGTGATTTGAACTCCTTCGCTGGAGAGTATTTCATATCTGCGGTCATTTTTGGACAAATAGTTTGAGGGTGCGAGGTGATGTCATGCTTAGTCTGGAGAACAGTTCTGTTTACAGAGGCAACAAGGAAACGTTGCTCTCAGTTTATGGGAATAAATAGAAACTTCCATAATCAGCAGCTCAGTCATCTCACCTTATTATTTGTTTAGTGGCCTTTTCTTTACATGAGCACTTCCTTTTCCTAGGAGCCTTCCTGTGACACGTGAGTGTGTTATTGTTGAGATTATTTAGATAGAGCTTTCACCTGATGGGTTTTGATTAATGCTTAACTGCAGCAGGGAGCACTTAAGCTTTAGACTGGAAAAATAAGGTCCTTCCTGAACATTTGAGTCACGAGGGACTTTTGTAATGATCTGTTTAGCAACTCGTGCCGACCTCAGACTGTATGCAGCTGTGAGTCATCAGCAACTATGTATAGTGTTGTGGCTTTTACCACAGAAAATGTCTTCTGAACTTGACAGGCAACAACGTGAGAACATTGTCAGTAAGCAGGTTGTTTGAGAAAAGGAATTAAATTTAATAACAGTGAATTAGAGCAGCTGTTAATTATCTAAAATAATAATAAACCACATACTTCCACTCACTGGCCACTTTATGAGCTCCACCTACCTTATAGGTCCACTATAGATACTACAGATACAGTTACAGAATGTAGCTCGTGTGTTGCTATACAGTTTATCAGCTCATTCATCTTTGGTCAGTTTGCTGTCCAGATATTATTTGGTTAGTGGACCATTCTCAGCTGGTTAATAAAAGTCACTTGGACACTTTCATTATGGAATAAGTTTCATCCAGTTCACTTGGGCTTATAGCATACACTTTAAGGGGAATTCCACCGATTTTTCAAAATTTTTAAGATGTGCTCAGTCAGAATCATCAGAATTCAGAATTGTTCACAGTGGTGGTGATAGGAACTAGACGGTCAAAACCGTTTACAAACACTGTTACACATAATGGTTATGAATATGCTGCCTGACGCAAGACAATGTTTATGATCATTTTGAGAATGTTTTGGCATAAAACAGGTTTTATTCAGGGTGGAGGGATGCATGCAGGGTGAAATAATCCCCAAAGAAAGCTTATTTTTTCAGATTTACCACTGTTTTATCACCATCAGTATTACTCATAAAAAAACTCAAAAGATCCCTTCCTATTAATTAAAATTGTAAACAAGGGTCATTCAGAGTGGTTTGGTGTGAAACGCTCCCCTCTAGAGAAACTTAGTCAGAATTGTTCACAGTGGTGGTGATAGGAACCAGACGTCCACCTCTAAAAGCTCCCTCACAGAAAGTTACCACATGAAGTGGTTATGAATAATAATGAGACGTTGTTTTATGATAATTTTGAGAAGATTTCAGCCTAAAACACATCACATCATTTTAACAGTTCATTCATGGTGGAGATATACATGCAGGGTGTTGGGAGGCAAATTAGTCCCGAAGGTAGATTTTTTTTAGATATACCACTGTTTTCACATCATCAGCATTTCATATAAAACTCAGAAGACTCGTGTAGGTTCACTGGTGGTTTTGGATAGTAAATAAAATGTCTATATTTGTGTTGTAGTCATGGCGACCCCTGGTTCCTATCACCACCACTGTGAAGACATCTGAACCATTTCACACCAAACCACTCTGATTGACTGTTAGAATCTCTGAACAATGCAGAAATGTAGAAAAATGGGTGGAATTTCCCTTTAAATTAGAAGGACATTACAAATATTTAATGCACATGTCTGTTCTTGTCTGTAGGTCACACAGGAGGTGACCTCTATCCTGGACATGCTGCTTCCCGTGGCCCACGGCTCAGAGGCTCTCCGCGATGAAGACGGCGAGCTGCAAAGCATGCTGGGACAACTGAAAAGTGTGGCGGAAAGGATAGCACATGGTCAGACACTACAGGTAAGCCTTGTGGCCAAACATGCAGCGTTACCCGAACAATGCCTGACCCCGTTTCCCTGCTGCCCTTTTCACTGTCTGAAACCTGATTCCCCGGCTGCAGTGCTTTCACTGGGCCATCCTTTCACATGGCGGCTGGACTCTTAACAGGGATTTGCAAGATCGGCCACAGTTATGTCCATAAGTTAATTCATTGCTGTTGTAATTGCACTAAAAACAAGAAAGACATCAGTACAGTGCTGTGAACTCACAGACCACCCTTCGTTTTGTTTAGTTTGCAGTCAAAACAACCATTAAGTTCTGACCCAGCCGGTTACCATGCTCATCTCCCAGGTCATATTAAAGTGGGACGTCTGTAAAACCTGTTATTTGTCTGTAAATTTTAACGTGGGTAAAAAGTAGGACATGCGTCAGTGCACTTTGTTCCTGAAAACATGGCCTGGGAGCAGCGGGTTGGAAAACTAGCTCGAGAGAGAGAGAGAGAGAGAGAGAGAGAGAGGGAGCCAGAGGGAGCAAATAGAAAGCCATTTATATCTCAGTTACTTGATCCCAAGCCTGAGCACATAAGACCCCTCCCTGTGGCCCCCTAACAAAGGGGCCACCTCACATCGCCCTCAGCCCAGTGATACCGAGTGTGTATTTGTCTCGCTGTGTCTGCAGGAGCTGAAGCAGCCCATTGTGGAAGGAGGGAGTGTCCAGTGTGAGAAAACGGCCTTGTTACAGGAGCTGCGTGATCAGGTGACAATGGCTCGTGTGTTAGAGCTTTCGGGGACGATGGCTGACGGCTTCTGACCGAGGCTTTGTGTTATAAACACCCAGGGATGAGCTGGGAACAGCCGATTCAAGACAAAGATTACGGCTGAAAATGGATAGCGGCACAATCGTTACACACGTCCTCTATTGCTGTACAAAATCATGATATTTTGTTTTTTTTTCATTTTGGATAAGATGGGGGAAAATTTCTGGGTTTTAATCTAATAACCCAACAATTTGGAACACTAAAGAACATGAGAAGAACACTAAAGAACATGATGTACAGCTCACTTTAAACAGAATCATAATTTTGTGATTTACATGTGTTATAGTGCTAGTTGTGTAATGAAAAATGAGTTTTGTTACTTTAGTAACACAATGAGAGCTTAAAAGTAGCAGGGGTTTGGGGTGTGTGGGGGGTGGTGGATCTTCCTGAACCACAACACAAGACTGTGGTTGTTTATATCATGGTTTCGGTCTCGGTTTCAGAAACGTTACACCCCTAATTATTAATATTATTATTATTATTATTATTATTACTAACAATACCAGTTGTTCCTCCTCTCCATCTCTCTCGCTCTCAGAACGCCCGGCTTCTAGAAGAGAATGCTGAACTCAGACTCAAAGCAGACAGCAGGCTGGATGAAGAGATCGTCCAGCGGGCTATAAAGGACAGAGACGACGCTATTGCTAAGTACGTAAGGGAGCCCATGCGACCATGATTAAATGTGTATTAAGGGACACTTAACACTTTTTCCAGGATCTTCACAGTGAAATTAAATTTTGTAAAACAGACTGTGATTTTTGATGAAGTGAGATATGATTGTCAGAATATTGTCATAGTAACTCATATCAGTGCTACAAGTAGGACTGCAACAGTTCTTTCTATAATCATGTGACTAATTGATCTAATTGACTGATAGAGCCATTATCTTTGGAAGTTCCATCTGTGAGACCACAGTCTTTACAGGAAAATCTGTCCACTCTCTAACAACATCCCTGGGCAGTTATTTCCAGGCCTACAAAATCAGGCTCCTCTTCTTGAGTGAAGAGAGGCCTTTAAACTCAAAAACGAAAGCCACACATTTCAAGAGCATATTTGAAATTATTGATAAAAATCTGACAATGAATGCCTACATTGATCAGGCATAACATTATGACCACCTCCTTGTTTCTACGCTCATTGTCCATTTTATCAGCTCCACTTACTATATAGGTGCACTTTGTTCTGCTCTGTGTGGTTCCATGGGGGGTCCTGACCACTGAAGAACAGGGTAAAAGGGGGCTAACAAAGTAAGCAGAGAAACAGATGGACTACAGTCTGTAATTGTAGAACTACAAAGTGCACCTATATAGTAAGTATAGTGGAGCTGATGAAATGGACAATGAGCGTAGAAACAAGGAGGTGGTCATAATGTTGTGCCTGATCGGTGTGTGTTTATACAGAGTCATATCATTTGATTAATGCAGAAACATAAACAACCAATATTTACCATAATATCAATACAAAACAAGTCCCTCTGCAATGAGCTTTAATAAACTAAAACCGTCTCACCAGTTCTCAGAATGACCATTCCATGCTCTAATGCCTTTTCATGCCTGTATGAGATGACGCAGTTCATCAGTAATCCAGACTCTCAGCAGATACCAGATCACTGTCGCAAAGTTCCTCAAAGCCACATGAAGTTGGTCCTTGGCTCAGAGAACCAAAATGTCCAGTTTAAATACCAAGAGAGATAATCGGGATTTGGAATAAGTCTGGAGATACACCCAGACCAAATCCCGCACAACCAAAACCCTTCTGGAAAAGAAAATAAAAACCTGTATAAAACATATAAATGAGATATTACCATCCATCCCTTTCTCTACATCAGGATGAAGCTATCATTACATAAAAAGCTTCACAAAACACAAACACATTACTCATATTAAGACAAAGAACATACAATTCCCTAACAAGGGTTTAAAAGAACGTGTTTCTGGAGCCCTTACTTGCCAAACATACTTAAGTTTGTACTCATACTTAAGTCTTCTTCTTGTCCCCTTAAACAGAAAACTAGGGGTTGACACTCTAGCAGCTGGGAAAGGAATTTCCCCAGTGACAGTCACTGTATACTGTCACAAACTCATATAACATACAAAAAAATGTATTTTCCACATTGTTCTGGGTGCGTACGTATATCTCCACAACAACAGGGCTTAATCACACTTAGCCCTTTAGCAGAAATACCGTAACACAGCTTGTTAAGCTTTGTGAGCTAATTTTTCCACCCGTTCCAAAACCAATTTTAAGTTCTTATCAACTTGGCCTCATTGTTTTCCCATGGGGGGTGGGGGGGAATCCCCAGCGCCATCTTAAGGCCCGTTCCGTTACTGTATCAGCACAAGCTTATTTTCTGATCCCTTAGAGGACCAAGGCACCATGTAAACAAAAGTGTTAACATCAGCAGCAGAATTTGCCCAGAAATCATTGCGACTTGATGCATTTTCCTATCCAAATTTGGAAAAATGGCACAGCTGTTATAATTATAGCTATAATATTTGATGTACTGTGTGCAGAATAGGCTTTAGGTGGCAAACTATTCCATCTGTTCTACATGACTGCTGATACACCTTCATCACTTTACTCTGCTAAAATGCTAGTTAGCAAGCTAAAGGCAACACAGCTAGCAACTACAAAAATATCGCCCCCTACACTTCCTGTAGTGTATTACAGTCTGTCAGAATGGCTGTGTGGATCATATGAACATTATAGGGCACTTTTTAAATGAAACAGTAGAAGCCATATCGCCCCCTTCACTTCCTGTAGTGTATTACAGTCTGTCAGAGTGACTGTGTGGATCATATGAACATTATAGGACGCTTTTTAAATGAAACAATAGAAGCCATATCGCCCCCTACACTTCCTGTAATGTATTACAGTCTGTCAGAATGACTGTGTGGATCATATGAACATTATAGGGCGCTTTTTAAATGAAACAATAGAAGCCATATCGCCCCCAGCACTTCCTGTAGTGTATTACAGTTTGTCAGAATGACTGTATTGATGATATAAACATCAGAGCTTTTGTTTTTAAATGTATGATGCGCTGACCTCTTTCCATAACTGACATTGTCAATCACTTTTCCTGCAGCATATGATGAAAGATGGGGAACTTTGTGAATGATAGTGGTTTTAATTCTCTTCACTGAAGGAAAACAGCAGTGGAGGCAGAACTCCTGCGCAGTAAGAACGACATAATATGCCTGAACAACCAGCTGCTGGAGGCCATCCAGCGCAAACTGGAGCTGTCTCAGGAACTGGAAGCCTGGCAGGTAGGTAAAGCGGGGTGTGGGGGGGGCACTCTCGGGGGACCCTGATCAGTCACTTTCACATTTGCTCACTAACTGATGATCAAAACTTCAGGTCAGGGTCGATTTCCACGCTGCTACTTCATGCTTCCTGTAGGATGATGAACTAACCACAAGTCTCTCCAACATTAACCCCTTTAGACCTACATTGATGGGGAATTCCACCCATTTTTTCAAATTTGTTCACAGTTGAGTGGCTGAGATGTAAACAAACTCAACTTGTAGTTAATTTTAGAGACTCAGATTTCCTTACAGTGGTTATAGGAACCAGGGGTCGCCATGACTACAACACAGATATAGCCATTTTATTTACTATCCAAAACCACCAGTGAACCTACACGAGGCTTCTGAGTTTATATGGAATGTGGATGATGGTAAAATAGTGGAAAATCTGACATAATAAGTTTTCTTTGGGGACTATTGTGCCTCACAACACCCTGCATGTATCCCTCCACCATGAATGGATTTTAAAAATATGTTTTAAGCCAAAACTTTAGCGCAAAACTATCATGAAACAGTATCTCAGACATCAGGAAGCTTTTCACGTAATAACGTTCATTGTGGCTGAATAGCAGTACTCTGTTCTCTGCTGTCGCCCCCTGCTGGCCACATTACAAAGATTGATAAACACACTACAGCAGGCTTGGGTTATATGGCAAAAAGTCTTATCATGATATATTTTAACATATCATACAATACTGGTCATTCTTGATAATAATTCTATACTTTAAATACATTATTAGTTTAAGTCTGAATAGGATTAGTCTATATCTGGTATAGTCTTATGTGTTATCTCTGTGGAGAAAACAAATGGCTTATTCTGGTTGCACTTTTGCAGATTTTTGCCCTAAACTGTCCTGCTGGATTGTGACTTCTTCACCCTGCCCATTGTTGTGAAGGTGCCTAGCATACCAAAATACCATTTGTTCAGAATTCAAGCCTTTGCAGCTGATACCAGAATGAAGAGAACAACATGATCATTTTATTGGAAAATATTTAATTTAGATGATTTGACAGGTCAACAGTGCATGAAAGCAGTTGACTTAAAGAAAAACAATACTGTTAACATTTGTATCCATTTGGGATGCACTGATATGGGAATTGTGTGCCGATATCCATCATAAATTGGACTAAATCTCCTTGGATTAGCATAACAGAAGAATATAACATTTATTTCTGAAGGGTTATAAGTGCAGTAAAATGAATAAAATGCAGATATTTTACTGCAGTAACCCAGCGTCACCTAAACATTGTGCTCTTCCAGCGTACAGTAAACACATAATCAAACATCGTTTCGAAATATCTGTCAAATTTGGTAATATGATATCATTCCGATGCCATCAGGTGTCCCTAGTATCCACTAGATAGTCCTGCACTTGTACTGTGTACAAACATAGAAGTACACAATGGTAAAACCACAGTAAATGTCTTCACATTTTTATGAATGTGGTGTTGCTTTTCCTGCAGGACGACATCCAGATAATCATCAACCAGCAGCTGAAGAGCCAGCACCAGACGGAGCAGCAGTCAGACCGGAAGCGGTCCGGAGCAGGCCGCCTCTCTTTCCTACGCAAACCCAGGAGGCCCTCGGCCTCGCCGTCCTGCACGCCAGAGATCAGCCCAGCGCCCAACCAGTCTCCCTGGAAAGACTGGCTCAAACTGAGCAAATAAACCCACCGGTGTTATCACCGGGAATGGACACGCGTCTGCCGTCCAGCCGACTGTAATGGACGGAGAGGTATCCGGCATCCACTGCTGACCACGTCTCTGATGCCCAAAGGTTTGGGCGCTCAAGCAGAGATAAAGGAAAGTCGTAGAGAAGGCCGCTGTGTTTCTAAGGCCCGGAAACACTAGTGCCATATAAAGCCTTCATGGACACATTCAGATAAAGTGCACAGTTATCTAGAACCGCCAAACCTGAGACGGACTACCACGTCCTGATTCCAACCAAGAGCACTTAGATCAAATATCCTTAATGCTATTTATTCCAGTGTTCACTGCTGACTTGTTGAAACACAAGGGAAAAAAACCTGTGGTAGAGCTTCTAGATATTAGTAGCTAGAACAGTTGCCTTCCTGCAGAGGGAGGAATCAGGAAAGCAGCACATGAGGACATGAGAACGTAAGAGGTTTGGCTACATCAATTGACTGTTTGCAGAATTCTGAGAAAGTCCTGCCTTCCCTTAGTTACCGTCGCTACGTCAGACTTTCAGTAGCGTCCACTTGTGCTTACAAACTAAGAAGTTCTGCAGTAAAACATGAGAAGCTCACAGAGAACATTTGGAAATTTTTCATGCAGAAATAAACTGGCTTTAAAAGATCTTCAGTACAGACAAATGTGTCAGAAAAAATATGAATGTAGGCCAGTTAAACAAACAAAATTGTGGAAAGCACATTTACATTAATCAAAGCAGGGATGTTGTTTAGTCACTGAATGTTCTCCTGTCTAATAAGGAGGAGGTTTTAGTGACGGAAGGTGCCCCTTCAGATGAGCTAATGCTAAAGCTAACACTGGAACCTCGCCGTCTTTTACATGTTTCAGCAAACTTTGATGAAACAATTCAAAGAATGAGTGCATTAAAATTTTTACAGAGAATGGTGTTTTAGGGCCACTGTTAAAAAATTTTAAATGGAAGACTTTGAGAATATTTTGAGACAAGAAAAGTCGTACGGTAGGATATTTCGAGAACAAAGTCGTAATATTTTGAGAACAAAGTCGTAACACTTCAAGAAAAAAGTCATAGAATTACGTCATTAAAGGTGGATATTACCAGGAAAATTCACAATATTGTGGCCAAAGGGTTTGCAAAAGGAAGGTAGCAACTTCCTCATCTTAAAATAAGGGACATTGAGGAGTTTGAAGAGTTATACTTTCATATCGATTTCACCCATAAAATACTCAGTCTCCTCAGTTATTAGTATAAGAAACGGCTGAAACAGCTGTGCAAGAAACTGTGTTCATTTAGAGTAAAGAACCAGATGGACTCGGAGGAAACTGTCGGTTTTGTTGAAGGAGAACTCAGGCAGTGGCCATATATACGGCTGCTGGTAGTTAGCTTTGTAGATGGCCGTGCCATTCGAAGAGGGCATGTAGTTTCACAGGAGACAATGAGAATGATAATCAAAATGATCGATCCTGAAGGGGAGGAACTCCAGAGCACTCGCATCTTCGTCGTCGCCACTATAGCACCCGGGGCCCCAAAGTGTTATGGCAGCCGCCCCTACAATTAGCATACTTTATCCGCAAAACATTGAGTTTATTCTTGTAACTTTACGACTTTACGAAATATTACGACTTTATTCTCAAAATGTCATACCGCGTGACTTTTTATCTCGAAATATTACGACTTTATTCTCGAAATATTATGATTTTATTCTCAAAATGTCATACCCTGTGACTTTTTATCTTGAAATATTACTTTATTCTCAAAATGTCATACCGTGTGACTTTTTATCTCGAAATATTACAACTTTATTCTCAAAATGTCATATCGTGTGACTTTTATCTTGAAATATTACGACTCATTCTCAAAATATCATACCATGACTTTTTATCTCGAAATATTACGACTTTATTCTCAAAATGTCATATCGTGTGACTTTTATTTCGAAATATTACGACTTTATTCTCAAAATGTCATATCATGACTTTTTATCTCGAAATATTACGACTTTATTCTCTAAATGTCATATCGTGACTTTTATTTCGAAATATTACGACTTTATTCTCAAAATGTCATATTGTGACTTTTATCTTGAAATATTATGACTTTATTCTCAAAATGTCATACCGTGTGACTTTTTATCTCTAAATATTACGACTTTATTCTCTAAATGTCATACCGTGTGACTTTTTATCTCTAAATATTACGACATTATTCTCTAAATATCATATCGTGTGACTTTTATCTCTAAATATTACGACATTATTCTCTAAATGTCATATCGTGTGACTTTTTATCTCTAAATATTACGATGTGTTTCTCTAAACGTCATATCGTGTGACTTTTTATCTCTAAATATTACGACTTTATTCTCAAAGTCTATTATTTTTTAAATTTTTTTTACGGTGGCCCTAAACGCCGTTGTAAATGTGAGCTCTGTACAGTTCTGTGTAATTTAACAACATTATCAAGCTACCTGTCAGCAGCTAAGCAAAGAAAAGCTAACTAGCTAGCTAACTGATCTGAACGTTGTTCTGTAACATTATTTTTTGTTAGAGGTCATATTAAAATGATTTTTAATGAATACAGTAGCCCAGATAAAGTTTATCTAAGCTTACAGTCTGTTAAAAGTCATTGAGCTTGATTTTGGTCTTTAATCTTAAACTTTTTCAGCTTCGGGAATGAAATAAAAACTGCTCTGACCTCCAGATGACCAGGATAGAGAGAATCGGGCATTATACACTCCTCATTAACATCCTTCACCGTTTCTTACTCTAATATTTCTGAATAATTGGCTGCTGCCGCCATTCTCACTGCAGGTTTGTTCTGAGGAGTTTTTCCAAAGTTTTTCCTTCATATGTTGGAGGAAGGAAGATTTAGAGATGACTGGGACCGACTTCAGAGGCGTGTCAGTCATTATTTTGCAAATGGTCAATTATTAGGCCAATATTATTATTATTTTGCTTTTGTAAATGGGTCAAAATGTTCCTGCAAAAATAACTCAAATTGAGTTGATGGTATTCAAAACATAGAAAAACACTAGATTCATTTAGACATTTATCATTTAGATGTTTAGGGACTGTTGTCAGAAGTAAATGCCTGCATGTTTCAGTATTTATGTGCCAAGTTGTAATTTTTATCGTTTATTTTATAGTTTGTTTCAGTGCATTTTATGTCCCAATGACACTGCTTTTTATGTCTGTAGCTGAGTATGTTACGTTCAGAAAAACATCAATTCATTTCACACCAATTGGCCATAAAGAGGAGCTGGGACGTTACCATTTGCCAAGGGTTCTTTTAGCAGTTAGGACCACTTTTGGTTCCGTAAAGAACCAGTGTGCGGAAAATCTGAAGCTGAAGAACCTTTTAAAGGTCTGAAGAGTCCATGTTCGACATTGTTCTCATATTTTTCCCAACGTCTTAGAATTCAACAGGCTGTTTTTCTCTGCCTTTAAGACTAATATATGTAAATGAGCTCAGTTCTGATTGGCTGCCATGCATTGTGGCTCAATCAAAACAGATTCAGAGCTGAAACACTCCTTATAGTGTGAAGTTTCTATGCCCCTTTAAGGATTTTCCTAGAACCTTTGCATCATGTGCAGGTTCTTCACACTCACATTTGCAGAGGTGGTTTCTCCTTTGAAAGGTTCTTCGGGGAATTAAAAATGGATATGCTATGGCATTGTGCAAAGATGAACAAGACTGGGTATCATTTGATATTTTTCAATACCTTCATTTCAGGACTGATTCCAGAACAAACTCTTTTCAGTACCTCTTTTTGTGGTGCTGTAAGTGGGTGTGTTTACTGACCGCAAGAGGTTCCAGACTTCTTGGGTATTTACATTTGGATTTGGATAAAACGGATTTTGTGCTCGATTACTTGAATTTTCATACCCAGCCATTCTCCGTACTCCATGACGTTCTCCGTATTGTTACACAGGTTCCCAGTCTAGTCCCCCAGTAATTCCGCATTTGTATTATTTTCCAGTTTTTGCCACCCAAAATAAACCTCACTGAAGTTAAAGAGGCTGAAAAGAACACAAATGTAGATCATCTAAACGTCCTCTGAGGCGGAAATGGACTGCAGTGTCATTGCTCTTTGTTTTCTATGTCTGCCAGAAAAATGACTGAAGCCCTATAATGTTTCTACTTTGTTTAGTACTTGTTATTACATTATTAAACAGTATATTTTATGTATATATATTGATCAATATGTTTGTAAATGCATGTTTTTGTGTTCACTGCTGAAAAAACACATGGATTCCTTACATTGTGAAATAAAGATTTTTTACAATTGAAAATGTCACATTTATGTTTATTTCCTCCAGTCTGGGGCAGTAAGAGACTGACTAGGCTACAGTGCAGGAAAAAAACAAACAATTGACATCACATATAAAGAATAAGAGGAATTAAATGGAATAAGTGCTTCAGATTTTTTGGAAATTGAGTTTAGTTGAGGAACAAATTCCCAAAAAGGCCGCAGTTTTTGAGATAGCCCTTGTCGAGGAAGAACAATCATATGTTTATTGTTAACTTGAAAAAAGTATTTTACTGTAAAAGTTATAAGTAATACATTTATATCTGGACAGTCCCCCAAACCAATAAATGTGCAAATGTAGGCCTGGCATAAGAGGAGTGTCTGCATTTCAGAATAAAGGTCATAAAGCAAAAATAACACCAATCTCTTTGTCCTTTTTATACTCAGGCCCTTAAACATATGTGTGTAATAGGCGGAAAATGAATGAATAACTCTATATCAAAACTGTAACGCTTTTTAATAACTAGTAATAGTAGTTCATCCGCATACAAGAGACTTTGGAAGGTTGTAACATGTCTTGTCTAAGTGTCCATGTAGAGGGAAAGTGCAGAACAACGCCATCTGCTGGTGGTTGTGTTCAAAACATTTCCATCATTCGTTTCACTATAGAGAATTTTTTGGTAACAGATTAAAAATCACTTACAGATTTTGTGAAACAGCATATACGAATACAGTAAAATATCAGCACATTTTGCTCTGTTATACAAACGTAAAGAAGAAAATACAATTCAACTACAAAACCCAAGACTCCGTGCCGGCTCCGCTCTACGGAAAGTGGGAGAGTGACGTCATTCGCGCGACCAACTTTGTAGTCCGTTTTGGGCAAGTGCTGGTAAAAAAACGTTTTCCAGCGTTTCACTGTCAAATAATCGTTTTGATGGTTGACTATATGCGGTGCTTTTAATAATTCTTCGGTGTTTTTTTGCTTGTTAATTTTAAGTTTTGATATGTCAATTTGTCTGTTACGAATTAAAATACTGTAGAAGAAAAATACCACTTAAAAAAAGCAGTAAATTAGGGTCAGATATATATAAATCATATGGGACAATTTACCCCGCTCCTGAGCTGAACTACAATAGTACCTGAAGACAGGCCAACAAAGTAATATGAAAGGATTTATTTATGTATATTCAGATAGATAGACAGAAAGATAGATAGATAGATATTAGTTTATTGTAGCCAAAAATGAAATATAACATAATTGTACAGACTTAAAAATACTTTAGCGTCACCATTAATTACAATTTGTTCAGTGTTATTTGATTATTTGGCTTTGACAGCCTGTTTACGTTTTTCTCGGCCATGATAAAAATAACTCAAATAACAGGAATAAAAACATAAATCAATAATAATAAAAACATGATAATAAACTGATGAAGTTTGTTCTGCTCTTCACCACTGCCCTCTAGCGGTGAGTCACGAGTATGCAGTACAGTACGGTAAAATTCCATGTTGCACCAGAAGAGGGCGGCATGGAGCGACGGCAGGAGAGAGACCTCGTCTGTGATCTACACTCTACCACTATACCAGGTTAGTAGCATTTTCAATGATTTTACTAAAAGCAGTTTTGGATTTTACCTCACAGTGATAGAACAAAACTCCCATCGTGATTTAAAGAGTTTTCTATCATAATTTAATTATTTTGCTTTGCATTGTTTTATAGCTTGTTACCACACCAGTTTTGAGTGTATTTAACTTGTTCACAGATGCTAATTTATCCAGTTCACACAATATGTGCATTAGAATCCGAACAGTAATACTAGACTGTGCATGGCAACAGTCTCTGAACAGCAGCAGGGTGACCTATCATGCAGTCATACGTATTGGGATCTTGTGGATGATGTTGGAAAAAGCTGTCATTTTTGGTACCTTTATTTTTGAGAATGCAGGCAAAATAGGCCTACAATGTAAACATAGTGCTGACTAGTTTAAATAAGGTCCTGAAATCTAGTGGACAGTCCTTTGAGTCTCATGAGTGAGTTCAGCGACTTTAAGGTCACCCTTTGCTGACACAGCTTGTATAATCTCCATAGAAAAGCACTGATCAATAGAATGGGACACTCTGGAGCAGCTGCACATGAGTCTAAGGTCACCATGCCCAATGCTAAGCGTGGGCTAGAGGGGTATAAAGCCCCCCAGCATTGGGCTGTGGAGCAGTGGAACTGTGTTCTCTGGAGTGATGGAGCTCCATCCAATACCTTTGGGATGAGTTGGAGTGATCCAGAGCTGACCACCACCATCAGTACCTGACCTCACTAATGCTCAATCAGATCCTCACAGCAATGTTCAAACATCTAGTGTAAAGCCTTCCCAGAAGAGTAGAGGCTGTTACTGCAGCACAAATTCACTATTAACACCTTCATTTCAGAAGAAACTCTAGTTGTGTACAACAGTTCAATTCATCATGCATCAAATTAATTTGAATTCATATTTAGGGAAGTTTTAGGAATCCTTGTCATGTGACGTCTGAACCCTGGTGAGAAAGAATCGGTCCAGTACAGTCTAGAGCTGCTGGAACAGTGAGTGATGTGCACTTTTGTACTTGTGTTCGCAGGAATTTAGGGAGGTTCCCACTTCCAGCGAAAGGTTTGAGCTATCTATAAAGATTTAAACGCTCATAGACTTGATGTGGCTCTTATACGCTTCTGCCAGACGGAGCCCTGCGGTTCACTCTGACCTAATGACCCATTTTCTCTTAAAAACTGCAAGGTACAAAATGCACTTATCTGGTTTTCCTTAGCAGGTGTTTGTCAGT